GCTGTAGTTGTAGAGTTTCAAAGGTTTTATCTTGCTTCTACTGGACACCTTCTAAATGACACCGGTCTCTTCTACACACAACATTACTGAATCAGAAAGCCTCTTACCAGCAGCATCCCAACAGCCATCTAGGAGACAAGTCTTAGGAGCTAAACACCCCTCCTAGAAATATTAAGACCACACTAGTCCAAGAATCATTGCATATTCTCTGCCATACTGCCTGCTTCCTCACCCATGGAAAAATATTTATTTATTTACTTTAAAAATGCAATATACCACCTATTTCTCCCAACTGAATCAAAAGAGAAACACAGAAGAAGACTTCCAACCAATTTCCAAATACAGACTTTTCTTAAGGGCCTCAAAATGTAGTTGTGGCAATTTCTGTGAGCCAAAAGGCAGCATGAACCAGAGTTAGCATGAACTGGCAAATGTATAGCAGCAAAAGAATAATGTGAATACTTTAGGTTCACCATTACAAAAAGAGGGAAACAGCTCAGTTGGATGAGCATGAGACTCTTAATCTCAAGGCTGTGGGTTCCAGCCCCACATTGGGCAAAAGATTTCTGCATTGCAGTGGTTGGACTACATTAATCTAGTGGCCCCTTCCAACTCTACAATTCTATAATCTCAGAACATGCCAACACTAATATAGAGAAAGAAGATGGAAAGGAGCTGATGGACATAGTTTGGGATAGAGATGCCATATGTCTGGAATTTCTCAGATATAGATAGGATTCACCGTTCAAAAATTGTGTCCAGCAGGGGTTTTTTGTAAACTGGATTTCCACTTTTTCTAATATGACAACTCTAGTTTGGGGAAACCTTTTATTTGACAGAATAAAAAGAGACCTGCTAGATCAGTCCAAAAGCCTATCTAGTCCAGTGTATGGTTCTTACAATGCCCAACCATATGTCAACGGGAAGCCCACAAGAAGGATCTGATTGGAGCATATTGTTATATGTTATATGTTAACATATTGTTATATGTTATTGTATTTTGCCTTCCAACAGGAGGAACATCATCCCATTACCTGCAACACCTGCTGATTCTGAAAGTTCATCCACCTTCCATCAACCAATGAGTGGTGATTCAGTCGCGATGAAGACATAGCGTGTAAAGCATGTGCCACAGCATAAACAGCATTGTAGATGCTATAGCTGTGGCCAGTCAAGCTCATTTCAAAAAATGTCCCAGGAAGGCTTTCCAACTTCTCTTTTCCTGTGCAAATATCTCCATCCACCTTGTTCCCATCTACACTTGGGAATACACAACCAAAGGCCTGCTGCCAGAAATCCCTGATAAAGCCATCTCCTGTTGTGAATGAAGGGCTTTTGCTTTCAATAAATGTCTTGAATCCTGGTAGATCACTGGAGTGCATAGAGAAGGACAGAACACCATGGACTATATCTGTATCCCAAGTTCTTTGATACACCATTGAAGTGAGCTCTATCTGAGCTGTTACTATCCACACTTTTCCTTTATTCATTGTGCATTCTCTGTCTGAGATAAATTGTAGCCACCTCAAAAACACAATGAGATAGGATTCTCCATTAGCAACCACTACATTGGCTTTGCTGTCAATGATTCTATCATATATTTTGGCTCTCTCATGTAGCTTGTCATTAATTTCTGTGACAATGGTAAATTTACCGCTTCTTTCTATAAAGGCAAAACAAATACCCTTGCTGGAGAATACTGGAAACACTGTCTGCACAAATCTTTCTCCACATTCATCATTGGATGTAAGGATCCCAATCCATGTCCAATTGAAATGGAGAAGCAAAGTCAGAATGCCTGCATGCTGAAGAGCATCTTTAGGAGACATTTGGTAGAAGGAAAGGCCTGTGGTTTTATCATTCATCACTGGAGCAGGGCCATATATGAGCTAAATAAAAGGAAATATACATGAATGAACAAACAAACAAACAAACAAATAGGAGCCAAACGTTGTCCCACAGAATCCCTTTCTTCAAAAAGTTGATGTGTAAGTTTTAAATTACAAACACAAGATTTTCAATGGAAGCTGTTTCCCCTGCCTGCCATCTTACTTACAACAGGTCAGGGGATTGGTTTCCTTTCATTGCCTCTGGCTGCAATTGTTGCTGAAATTCCTCCTTTCCATTGACCTGCCATCACTAGACAGTTTACTTTCTTCTATAGGTGCTGTTACATTTCCAATACTCACATTTTTGATTATCTGTACTTGACCTTCCATTTGCCATTCCTACACATTTCACTCACTTCAATTTCCACACCCACAATCTTGTCTGTATGGTGAAAATAAGCATTTAAATGGATGAAATCCCATATTCAACATACAGATAGAGACATCTACACAACCTACCTGTGGAATCTTGTAGATATCCAAGACAGTTGCAATATAACGAGAAATTAGAGGCTCCAGTCCCCCAACAACCGCTATTAATTTATTCTGGACGTCACATATGTAGTTGGGAACTATTTTTTCTTTTGAGGACATAAGCTGCATTGTGGCATGATAGGTATTCTTTGCATTGAAGTAACTGTCATAAATGTGAAAGCCCAAGGAAGTATTGGGTAAAATCTGAGAGTTTTCATTTATCTCCTTTACAGCAAATGCCAAAGCCAGGATGTGCTGGTAATACTTAGGCACTACACTAAAAAAGAGTACAGATTATTAGGATATCCCAAACATTGTAAAATGTAGACTATGTTGTCCTGCATCTCCTTCCTTATTATTCCTTACAGTATTTGTGTACAAACGTTCTTTAGACAATGCTTAGCCTTATGTGGGTTGCACAAATATTAGAAAACTGTATTCTCCTTTACAACAATGCACTCAATATACTTTATTTATAAATTACCAATATAAAGTTCCGTGTGTTATCACGAACCATACGATTTGACATTTTCAGAAGGATGTATTTGATGCATGTGAACACCTACTCCCATTCTTGATATTTATCTAATTCTATGACAATACTGAATCGTTTCTTAAGAATGCCTCAGAATACAGAACACTTTATAAGTTTAAGGTGAAATCTACATTTTAAGAATATGTTCAGAGTGTGGTGATAACTGCACTAGAATTAGAGTTGTATTCTGTATTTGGAGAAACTTCCATGTCTTGTAAAACTGTTGCTTCTCCCTTGACATCTCCTTCCTTATTATTTACAAATATTTAAATACTTAGCTTTGAATTCAACAAACACTCCCCCCAGCTCTCTTACAAAGACATTTTGAAATTGTATAAGAAAAATGATACAAATTAAGATAGTTTATCAATTATCATTAATATTTCTGCCCTATTGATAGTACTTTCTAAAATGTTTAAGTAGAGGAAGCCATCACTGGTATTTTCAAAACGGGATGAACTTAATCTGTCTCCATTCTGAATATAATTAAATTCGTATTTCAAGTTCACCACTTGAAAATTCTTTGACAAACTTGGGGAAAGACAGAAATTCACATCCTTAATGCAAACAGAAATAGTAACAGCAAACAATAACAATAATGAAGTCTTACACAAGCTCTTCAAACAACACGGGTGGAGGTGCTTCAATGAAGGTTAGTGTGTTGGAGATTATGAAGGTCTGAGAAGTGATGCCACCAATTATGTTGCCTCCCAACTGATGATACTCTTGAAGTGGATTGTGTGGAGCTCTTACCATGCAGTTATTGTGAGGCTTGCATGCCACGTGAGGAAGTAGTGCCAGTATCAAGACAACTAATATCACCATCCTGAGTACGAATTTTGTCTCTAAACACAGATTGTTCTATTCCCTCTCAGGAGAATCAAAGAGGTAGTTTCTTTGTTTTTTCTGAGTCCCTGCTTCTACAACTAATTATTAAAGTGAATATTTATATTATCCTTCATACATTGTGCTATTATTTTTCTTCTGTCCACTGAAAATCCTCGGGGAGGAGCATTGCCAAGTACTTGAATTAATTACAGCCCTTTTCCCAATTGCAGGAGTAAGGAATCATCAACTTAATATTGGTGTTCACAAATGGAGTTGGGAAAAAAGAAGTAGTTTGGAGCATCTGAACAGAGGTTTTTTCTTCTTCCATGTAGTTGGATAGAAAGGGGCCTCCATAACAGTTCAAACTTCAAGGCCCCAAAACTGTACTTCCTTTTGACTGGCATGGATTTCCCAACATTTTGTTTTATTGGATGACAGTGCCAGCAACACTTTTTGAGCAATTCAAGTTGATGCTAAAGCAGCAAAGGCAGCATGAGGGAATGGAGCAATGGTAAAGCCAGTGGCTTGACCAGATGGGGTAGTGGCAGAACCAGTGCTTCAGTGAAATAAAGCAACTGCAAGCAGAGGACATGATAAGTCCCCTTGTAGAGAAAAGTCATTGAGGTGGAAACCCTGCCTGGTGAGATGCTGTTGGCAGTGCTTTTTTTTCTAAAAAAATGTTTAGTGGTACTTTAATTTTGACTCACAAAAATCAGCATCTTATAGTTCAAATCAAGAAAAAAATAAATGCATTAAATGAACAACAGTACAGAGATTTACAAAATCTTTTGGTATATGTGTACCCCTGTGTCCCCCCAGAAAGAAAGCACTGGCTATGGAGGTCTGGAAGTCACCCTGGAGCCCAGCTGCCAGATATCCAAAAGGAAGTGGTGGCCAGAGAGATCTTCCCTAAACAGGGCTGCCTTCAGATGTCTTTTAAAAGTCAGATAGTTGTTTATTTCCTTGACATCTGATGGGAGGGTGTTCCACAGGGCGGGCGCTACTATTGAGAAGGCCCTCTGCCTGGTTCCCTGTAACCTAGCTTCTCACAGTGAGGGAACCGCCAGAAGGCTTTCGGAGCTGGACCTCAGTGTCCAAGCAGAATGATGGAGGTGGAGACTATCCTTCAGGAATACTGGGCCAAGGAGCATGATGGTGCATTCCATGACCTATGTGCATCCATCCAATTGCCACTAGACTGGGAAATGAGGCCTATAATTACATCTGATAGATCCTCCACCTATTTGCAATATTTTGTATGCTACCATGGACATTCAAATGCTATCATGGTGCTATGGGATGAAGACATGGAAATTATGTTGCATGTATTTAATTTATGCCACTATGCTAATGCTGGAAATTGTTGGAGTGTCTTAGTATTGTCTAGGGGATTTCCACCCACTTATCCACTATAATGAGGTGTGTGTGGTAGTCACCCTCTACCTAGTTTCGGTCTTTCAAATATTACCACAGTGGCGCATTGTGAAAACATGGATATATATCTTCAAAAAGGTTGCCCATCCCAGCTGTACATGCTCAACAGTATTATCCCACATTTTAAGACTTCAACCTAGTATAAAAAACAGAATGCTTGTCTGAAGCCTAGTAAATTTGGGGCACAAATGAATAGGTATCAGACACGCTGACTTGGGAAGGAGATGGGGGGCAGGGTTTGACGTTGCACAAACATCACAATGGTCAGGGATGATGGGAATTTTATTCCAAAAATAGCTCAATGTTTGGGAAACCCTGGACTAGCTTGATATTCTTTGTAAAAAAAAACCTGGGAGCACATTTTAGAGCTGAAGGATTACTAGCCAACATATGCACTGAAAGATATATGATTAAGCAATGCATTCCTCCTGATCATCAATATGACCCTTACTGCCAAAATGCACTTTTGCTTGATTATTATTATTATTATTATTATTATTATTACCCCTCCCACCTTGCTGTTTCCCCAGCCACTCTGGGCGGCATCCAACAAAATATTAAAATACAGTAATCCATCAAACATTAAAAGCTTCCCTAAACAGGGCTGCCTTCAGATGTCTTCTAAAAGTCTGGTAGTTGTTATTTTCTTTGACATCTGATAGGAGGGCATTCCACAGGGAGGGTGCCACTACCAAGAAGGCCCTCTGCTTGCTTCCCTGTAACTTGGCTTCTCGCAGTGAGGGAACAGCCAGAAGGCCCTCGGCGCTGGACCTCAGTTTCTGGGTAGAACAATGGGGGTGGAGACGCTCCTTCAAGTATACTGGACCAAGGCCATTTAGGGCTTTAAAGGTCAGCACCAACATTTTGAATTGTGCTTGGATGACGAGGATAAATTATGGGGTTTGGGGTGGGTGGGTGGGTGGATGTGGATGTGTTTTAAATCCCATTATTGAACCCATCCTGCCCACCAGAGATGTAAGCAACATAAAGGGATATGTAAAATCAGATGAAGTCTTTGGTAGAAGATAACGTGTTTACAGTTGAACCATTGGCGGAAGGGAAAGGGGCAGTGGCCTGTAGATGGGTGTACAGATTAAAAACTTTACCGATGGAAGTATTAAATACAAAGCTTGGATAGTAGCACATGGTTTTACTCAAAGAAAAGGAGTAAGTTTTGATGAAAGCTTTTCTCCAACTACAAGGAGTGAGAATGTGTGTTTGTTGCTGGCTGTGGCAGAACAATGCAGGTTCAAGGTGAATCATTTTGATATTGAAACTGCTTACCCCAATGCAGGTTTTCAAGAGGAAATATTCATGAGTCAAGCACCTGGGTTCAAGGCAGGTGAACAGGGTTCTGTATACAGATTGTGTAAAGTGATCTATGAGCTCAGACAATGTGCCAGGAATTGGAATGAATGTCTTGACAGTGTTTTGAAGAAACTTGGTTTCAAAAGAAGTATAGCTGACAACTGTATGTAGGCCCTTTGGTGACAAACATGATAAGTGTGATCTGTGTCTTTCATATGTCTTTGATTTACTTTATACTGTTAAAAGCGATAAGTAGGTAAAACACATTTTCCATTCTTTACATAATACACTTTATTTTCTTAAATTGTCATCCTCAGGATCAGAAGAATTAAAGTGTTTTGTTGATAGTGATAGGGCAAATTTACCAGACAGGAAATCAGTGGCTGGGATGGTATTTCAATTTGGCAATTCTTTGGTGGGGTAGAAGTCCAGGAAACAAGGGATTGTAGTCACTTCCTCCACAGATGCTGAATACAGTGCTCAATCTGATCGATGTAATGAATTGAAGTACCATATACAAATTCTCACTGACATAGGAGTAAAGTGTACTGTACATATCCAGTGCAGGTATGGGAGGATAATCAAGCAGTCATTGCAGGGATGGACTCTGAACAGTTTAAAAGTAGAATGAAACACGAGGATATTAAATACCAAAATGTGAAAGAGAATGTGAAGCAAAATCAGATACAACTGCAGTATTGTAAAAGCAGACAAAATGGTGCTGATGTGTTTACAAAATCTCTTACTTTTGAGATACATGCACAATTAGTTGAAAAGTTGGGACTTGTGATGCATAATGTGCCATTAAAATGCCATTAAAAAGAGGAACTATCAGTTTTGCTTTTGCAGACAGAAGACATCTGACCAATGAGTGCTGACTCAAAATCTGCTGAGTCAGGACTGCTAATGGACTGTATATCTGATTACAGACTGGAGAGGGAGAGACTGTAACTGAAAGCATGCCGCTATAGCTGTATGCTTTAATGATTGTAAATAGTTGCTACCGTAATGCTTTTGTAACCGATCAAGTAATAAAACTCTTGACTGAGATTTCAAGGCACCGGTGAGTGTTTCATCTCTAAAAGAATAACTTCAGTTACTGTTCAATGTTTCCAGAAAAAACTCTCCTAAATGAGTTGTAAGTGTTTACAGAGCTACCTTCACACAAGTATCCAAGTGCAGATAAAGTGTAATGGACAGTGACATTTAAAAGAAGTAAAGGTCTGAATGATAATTCATACTCAAAATTTCCTGAGTGGCACAAAATAGCAAAACACAAAGACGCTGAGATTATTCAGACTTTCCTTCTTATTAGTTGTTCCCTGTTGTTCAGCTCAGGTCTCAGCACAATGATATAACATTTGGGGAGAAAGATGCAAGCTAGGAGCCCAGCACTGGAGGCTAAGATAGAAAAGATTTCCACAGCTACCATATATTTCCCCTTTGAACTCAGGTAGGATGGAATAAAGGAGAGCCAAACACTGCAAAATACCAACATGCTGAAAGTAATGAATTTGGCTTCATTGAAACTATTGGGCAATTTCCTGGCAAAGAACGCCACAACAAAGCTGATTATGGCCAGGAAACTGATATAACCTAAAACACAGTAAAACATAGTCATGGACCCCTCATTGCATTCTAATATAATTTCTTCAGTAACTGAGTGCATGTCAACATCTGGGAATGGGGGAGAGGTGACCAACCATACGGTACAAATGCCTGCTTGAATAAGAGAGCAGGAAAGAACAATGGCACTGGCAAGTCTTCTCCCCACCCACTTCCTCATCCTGGAACCTGGTTTGGTGGCCATAAAAGCAAGAACCACAGTAGTGGTTTTTGCCAAAACACAAGAAACAGCCACAGAGAAGATCATGCCAAAAGTGGTTTGTCGGAGGAGACACAACACCTGCTTAGGCTGTCCAATGAATAGCAATGCAGAAAGGAAGCAGAGCAGGATTGAGATAAGGAGAGTATAGGCAAGGTTCCGGTTGTTGGCCTTGACAATGGGAGTGTTGTGGTGCTTCAGAAATATTCCTAGCACCAAGACTGTGATCAGACAAAAGAAAAGAGCAAAGAAGGCTAAACTGATGCCCAGTGGTTCTTTATATGATAAAAAGGAAATGAATTTGGGAATACAGAAATCCCTGGTTTTGCTTGGATAGGTTTTTGCAGTGCATGTAGAACAGGCATTCATGTCTGAAAAAGAAAAGGCATGGGTTTCATTTCAAATTGATTCCAGACATTTCACAAGCATGTTTTCTCTTTTACATCTAAAACAATCCATTCATATTAGGCTATTCCTTTTGTGTCAGTCTTCTCAATATATGGAAGGTGAGGAGTTGATTATGTGGACCGCCATCTACCTTTCTGGAAATATTATGGTCTCATGTATTTTAGAGCTCTGTGGATGAACAGCTGTCTCATTAGTTGAATCTGCAAGGTAGTGAGCTAAGATTAGAGACATTTTTTGTTTATAAGCCCCGTTCTGTGTCCAATAAGCAGAGGACACCTTTGCCCAGTGGCACTGTGGCCCACAGATTGCAGCAAAATACTAGGCAAGGTTTTGTCAAGTACAGTGGTACCTCGGGTTAAGTACTTAATTCATTTTGGATGTCCGTTCTTAACCTGAAACTGTTCTTAACCTGAAGCACCACTTTAGCTAATGGGGCCTCCTGCTGCCGCTGCACCAGCACTGCACAATTTCTGTTCTCATCCCAAAGCAAAGTTCTTAACCCGAGGTAATATTTCTGGATTAGCAGAGATAGTAACCTGAAGCGCATGTAACCTGAAGCTTATGTAACCCGAGGTACCACTGTATCTTCTCTGTGTGATGGGCTAATGGGGAAAAGCTGTCCCATGAGCCCTTGCTGCAGAGAGGAAGGATAAGCCTATATAAGACTGCTTCCCTTGGATGTCACAGCCATTTTGTTTTGAGAGGGTTGGAAAGGATTTCTTTTCTCTCAACCCGATTGGCACCTGGTTGGGGTTTTTTATTCACTTTTCCCTCAGTAAAATTATGGCATTCCTTTGTTAGGCACAATAATATTGTTTGTATGAGGGCGGAAATGGCATTGGGCAGCATCAGCATAGTATAGGGGCCTGAGGGGCCTGAGGAGAGGATTGACCTTTGCAAACCCAAGCGTGGGTTCGGTATCTGCCTGCTTAGAATCTGCATCCTGCATCCCCAGTGAGACCTTGCTTCCTTGCATTGCAACACGGCAAGTTTCCACACTGGCCAACTCCCATCATATAGATTTGGAGTGATCCAAACCCAGCAGATCCATTCCATCAACATGGGGCTTGTGAAATGATGAACTGATCCTGGGACCCATGCTAACCTTTGTCCTGCCTTCTGCTGTCAATAAGGATTTGGCCCAATTTTATCCCATCAGCATTGTTCAGTCTGGTTATTTTGCTGCTCTCATGAGTCACATAAAGTGCCTGCTTGGAAAATTTCTTTCCTCATTTGTGAAGTTTAGATACAGTTTTCCCACTTTCAATTCCAAAAGAATTCAATTCCAAAAGAATTTTTTTTAAAAAAAACCAATTTTATCAAATAACAGAGCAGTATACAAGGAAAGGATTTGTGTACCACCTCAAAGTGTAACATCATCTTTACTTGTTTTTGGACACCACAAGAATTCAATGCATGTGTGCAGATGAATACCAACTGGATACAGCTCATATGAATTTCTACACCTTTTAATATAATCCCCTGATGAACAACCTGTGTTTGAAACACATTGAGATTAGCACATATACAATTTGGTCCAAGTCTTCTGCATCTATCACGTTCACTTTTGCTTCTGCTTTGTGGTGCTGCAATTTTGATGTGTTTCGTTGACCATGACCAAACTTTTCCCAGCTTTCTACACTCTATTTCTTACCCTTCTGGTTTGAAAACTTTCCTTCTGGACATGGGATGCAATCATAGCAACAAAATGGTTTTCCCTCCTTCACTTTCTTGCTGGAACCAGGATAGCAACTCTCAGAACACACAGAAAGAGGCTGGACCTAATTTGAAAGTGAAAGAATAGAATGATTACACTGGTCAACAACAAACTTGTTGTTTGCGTTTTTTTCAGTTGATTTAGGACGAATCTGATGCGCTGAATCCAAAAATCACATTGGTTTTGCTCAGTCAGGTCACGTTTTTGAGCTATGGCCACATGTCGGTTTTTTTACATTTTTGTTCACATGTACGCTTGTGTGTGGCATTTTAGAAGAAGTTGGTGGGGGTAAAATGCCATGTCAAATAATTGTTTTGATTGGAAATGATTATTTTAATGACAAGAAGTATTCAGGTCCAATAGTTCTGGGTGATTATGTCGAAAAGGGATCAGTTTGAAGTCATAAAACCTCGAAATATTCCATAAATTGGTGCGGCTGGGATCAACAGAAAGAACCGGAGCAGCCTCAAGTATCCTGATCTTCAATCAGCATGTCGTCCTGTAGCTCATTGTGATGAAATTCCAGTGCCTATCTTCAGAGAACTTCCTGACATTAGTGACGAAGATGCCTCCAGTGTTGAAGGACATGAAGAAGAAGAAGTGGTTCTTGAAGATGATGCTCCACATCCATTTTCCCAAAAGGAGTTGAATGATCTAGTTCGCGACCTCAGCTTCTCAAAGGACTCTGCCGAACTGTTGGCATCCAGATTGAAGGAAAAAAACCTCCTCTCTGACAGTTCTCGCATCAGCTTCTTCCACAACAGGCATCAAGCGTACCTCCGTTTTTTCTTGGAAGAGAAGGACTTGGTGTACTGTGCAGATATTGCACAGCTTCTGCTCAAGCTTGGAGTGCCACAGTACGAACCCAAAGATTGGAGACTGTTCATTGACAGCAGCAAGTGATCACTGAAATGTGTTCTGCTACACAACGGCAACCAGTTTGCCTCTATATCCCTGGCTCACTCGAGTACACTGAAGGAGAACTATGAAGCGGTGAAGTATGTGCTGGAGAAAATTGGTTATGGTCAGCATAAGTGGTTTATTTGTGTTGACCTGAAGATGGTGAACTTTTTGTTGGGACAACAGTCTGGCTTCACCAAGTACCCATGTTTTCTGTGCATGTGGGATAGTAGGGACCGTGCTCAGCGTTACACGAAGAAGGACTGGCCTATGCAGGAGGAATTGGTGCCTTGCAAAGAAAGGAACGTCATCAACGACCCTCTGGTGGACAGAGACAGAATACTCTTCCCACCGCTGCACATCAAGCTCGGCTTAATCAAGCAGTTCACCAAGGCTCTGGACAAGGATGGTGACTGCTTCACTTACTTGTGCCAGGCTTTTCCAGGATTGACCATGGAGAAGTTGAAAGCTGGCATCTTTGATGGTCCTCAGATCCATCAGCTCATCAGAGATCCAAAGTTCAGAAACTCAATGAACGAAGTGGAACTGGAAGCGTGGAAGGCATTTGTTCTGGTAGTGAAGAACTTTCTTGGCAACAATAAGGCCAGAAACTACGCAGAACTTGTCAACAACATGCTGACTGCTTTCAGAAACCTGGGCTGCAACATGAACGTCAAGATGCACTACCTATTTTCACATCTGGACCGGTTTCCTGAGTACCTGGGTTCAATGAGTGATGAGCAGGGGGAGAGATTCCATCAGGACATGAAAGAGATGGAGACCAGGTATCAGGGTCGCTGGGACGCAGTCATGATGGCTGACTACTGTTGGACTCTGAAGAGAGACCTCCCTGCCGCTGAACATTCCAGGAGTTCCAAGAAATGGAAGTTCAAGCCCTGAAGTTTGAAAAATGGTGAAGCAACATGCAATTTATCTGTACTTACCTTTATCAATGCCCACCATTCAGTTTACAGTAAACCTGACCTGATGGAGAGAAATGGATGCCATTTCCTGATTCAGCAGTGCAAAAATACCCTAAATCAGTTGTAGAAATCTAGACAATATTCAAAAAGTAAAAAATTGTTGCCCAGTGTTATCTTAAAAAGGAGTCTCAAGTTCTTAAGATGATCTTCATGTATAACTGAAACCAAATTGGAACCACTCTTCCGTAACTTCATCTGACATCCATCGGAGATGTGAAATATCCTGGGCTGTGCAAGGTATTTCAAGTGTGGTTACAACCATTAAAATAAAATATTAAAAACATTTTAAAACAAATTGAAAGGGAAGGAAGCCTATGGGGAAAGATTAACACATTTGGAGCTTTTAAGCTTAGAAATAAGGCAGATGACAGGAAAGAGTAAGGATACATGAAATCATGCATTTATAATGCCTAAATATGTATGGAAGTGAGAGCTGGACCATAAAGAAGGCTGATCGCCGAAGTACTGATATGTGATGGCCTGGGAATCCGATTCAGAGGCTGAACCGGAGGAATCCCAGCCTGCGCAGGAGTCCCCGCCTCCAGGGCCGGCTGAACTGGGGCAGGGCCTTGATTCTGAAGCGCCTGCACCTGTGCCGGATCCTCAGGAGCCGGCACCAGGTGAATCCATTCTGGCTCCAGAGGTGGTTGAGGACTCAGTGCCTACAGGTGAGTCTCCCCCTGGGCCCAGTAACCCTTCAGCCTCTCCTGAACTGCAGAGAGGCGAAGGGAACTGGTTTCTCCCAGGAGGAGAGCTCGCCTTAAGGCCAGGAGAGGCGGGTCTCCTGGGGGCCGGGACCGCCCCTGGCCTCAGAGAAGATAAAGGCCAGTCAGCCCGGTCCCAGGTTGCGGGAGCAACGTCGTCGCTGAGTACCTGCTCCTACCCGGACCCAGACCTAACCTTCCAGTGTTCCTGTCCCTGCCCAGCTTCCAGCTTCTGACCTTCCAGTGTTCCTGTCCCCACCCGGCTTCCTGCTTCGGACCTCGCCTCGCTCCTTATGAACTGTTTCCAGACCAGTAACCCAGGACCAGACTTTGACTACGCCAACGGTAACCTTCCCCCTGGGACCAGCACATGATGCTTTTGAATCATGGTGCTGGAGGAGACTCTTGAGAGTCCCATGGACTGCAAGAAGATCAAACCTCTCCATTCTTAAGGAAATCAGCCCTGAGTGCTCACTGGAAGGACAGATCCTGAAGCTGAGGCTCCAATACTTTGGCCACCTCATGAGAAGAGAAGACTCTCTGGAAAAGACCCTGATGTTGGGAAAGATTGAGGGCACAAGGAGAAGGGGACGAGAGAGGACGAGATGGTTAGACAGTGTTCTTGAAGCTACCAGCATGAGTTTGACCAAACTGCGGGAGGCAGTGGAAGACAGGAGTGCCTGGTGTGCTCTCGTCCATGGGGTCATGAAGAGTCAGACACGACTAAACGACTAAACAACAGCAACAACAAAATATCTTACACTGAAGCTGAATGTTGTAATATTCATAACAAAAGGATGTACTTCTTCATAAAACACAGTTAAACTCTAAAATTCACCAAAATGAGCACAGGCTACAAACCTGGATGCCTTTAAAAAGGATTGGACAAATTCATAGAGGATAATTCTATCAAGGGCTACTAGCTAATTTCTACCTCAACCATTGTAAGCAACAGGCCTCTGAATACCAGTCTCTAGAAATTGCAAGTGGGGAACTTCCGGTTTGGCTTGCCATGGCTGAGGCTGTTGATTACATCTGTGCCATTTTACATGGGATATTTTGAGGATGAGATGGGAGTAATCATCCTCCCAACCCCCCAACTGTGGGGCTAGTGGGGGCAGCTTCACACGCAGATCACCCAACACCTGCCCCAATGTAGTAGGAATGAGGTGGCAGGGAGCTCTGGGTGGAAAACACTCTCCAAAGTCGCCGCCATGAGTGAACAAACTCCAGTTTTTTAATATGAAAATTTGGACTTAATTAATGGGCATACTCTGAGTGAGGGGAGATAAACTACTCTGCTAACTTATTCAGCCACTGAGGAGCCAAAGGATTCGAGTGGAAGAGAGATTATCTTTACTATGGAACTTTTATGTCGGAACGAAAAAGGGGGGGGGGAATATTGCATATTTGCTATTTTACTTGACACACCCCGGAAACTCTGAATACAAATTGATTAGGTACGCAATTGTTGTTGTTGTTGTTTAGTCATTGAGTCGTGTCCAACTCTTCGTGACCCCATGGACCAGAGCACACCAGGCACTCCTGTCTTCCACTGCCTCCCACAGTTTGGTCAAACTCATGCTGGTAGCTTTGAGAACACTACCCAACCATCTCATCCTCTGTCGTCCCCTTCTCCTTGTGCCCTCCATCTTTCCCAGCATCAGGGTCTTTTCCAGGGAATCTTCTCTTCTCATGACGTGGCCAAAGTATTGGAGCCTCAGATACGCAATTATTAACTGTGTGGAAAAGATTTACAAACTTGCAATTAATTCTAATGGGTTGTTAAAAGCGGAGGAGGCTTCTAGCCAAAGCACAGGCTTATCTGTTCTGGTATAAGATGAAATGGAAATGTTTGGACATATGCCTGGAACAATTGGCAGAAAGCCAGATTTCCTTCATTTTGGGACGTGTCATATTGGATAACTACTGGCATGAAGAAGCAAAAGTGAAAGACATGGAAGAAAATAAACACCCACACAGAAACATACTGTTTTGATATAACTTGCTTGCTGGACGAACTCAGAGGCTGTGGAAATGAACAGATTAACATCGGATTGATTTTTGGGAAGCACCTGGACTAATTAAGAAAGCAGCGCAAATGTAAGATGATGGCAATCGTCCAACCTCAGAACATGGGAAGACAAACAAAGATTTATGATTTGTTATGGGCTGAACATTGTCCATTCAATGAAACTGAATGGTTTGCCAAGCACTTCACAACTTTATCCTACCTGGTTAAACCAATTGTGCCATGTGATGGCATCCTTGTTGATGGTGAACACTTGGTCCGGAGAACCCTGGGGATCCATTCTCCCAACTTTCACTCTTTGAAAGGATTGGTTTGAGGAAATAATCCAGTTTATAATATCAAATCCAGTCACTAACTCCCCATTCTGGTCAAAAGAGATCTTGTCTCCAGCACTGTTGTTAAAGGAGACAATTTTCAGAAAGTGATGGAGCTGAGTTGAAAAGGAAAAGAAGCTTAGTAGAGGCTGCATTTCTGTGGAATCTTTCACAGTAAGTCATACAAACATCTTCCCTGGGTGGAAGCAACACAGTTCTTTGTTTTCATACTCAGACATGTGAAAGTCGATGTCACATTTGCCAAACAACACTTCATTACAATATTGTTGGTTTTTAGAAGTATCTCATGTGGGGTGAATCTTGGGCCTTTTTTTTTTTTTTTGTAATGTAACCAACTACACATAGAACTCCCAGTGTGAATCACAGGATGCAAAGACGGCACCAGGGAAGAATGGGTGAGAGAAGATATACAATAGGAGCAAAGGGGAAAGAAATACCAACATCAGGATTTGCTGCCCTGGTGGATCCTTAATTTAAAGCCTAGTGACACTTCATTTAAAGCCTAGTGACCCCTTCCAGCTCCACAACTGTATAACCTCAGAACATGCTCAAATTAATATAGAGGAAGAAGATGGAGAGGATGGGCAGAGTTTGGGTTAGGGCTGCAATAGGTCCAGTATTGTGTCTGGGAAGAATTTTCTGAAATGGCTAAAATCTCAACAACTTTGCCCAAAAACCTCAAAAACATTGTGTTTGGCTTTTCACTTTTTGACATATGGCAACCATAGTTTGGGGAGACCTTTATTAGACAGAATAAAAATAGACCTGCTAGATCAGTCCAAAGCCTCCCTGGTCCAGCATATAGTTCTTGCAGTAGATTGCACAGTTGGACTAGATTGCCCCAGTGGTCCTTCCAACTCTACAATTCTATAGTCTCAGAACCTGCTGGCAGTAACATGGAGGAAAAACATGCACCTTAGAGGAAGAGAAGAGTTTGTCGAGACCTTTTGCCAGACACAATCATAAGAGACCTGCTAGATCAGCCCAAAAGCCTATCTAGTCCATAATATGGTTCTTACAGTGCCCAACCATATGTGAACGGGAAGCCCACAAGAAGGATCTGATTGGAGCATATTGTTATATATTCTGAGAAGTATTTTGCCTTCCAACAGGAGGAACGTCATCCTATTACCTGCAACACCTGCTGATTCTGAAAGTTCATCCACCTTCCATCAACCAATGAGTGGTGATTCAGTCGAGATGAAGACATGGAGTGTAAAGCATGTGCCACAGCATAAACAGCATTGTAGATGCTGTAGCTGTGGCCAGTCAAGCTCATTTCAAAAAATGTCCCAGGAAGGCTTTCCAACTTCTCTTTTCCTGTGCATATGTCTCCATCCACCTTGTCCCCATCTATACTTTGGAATACACAACCAAAGGCCTGCTGCCAGAAATCCCTGATAAAGCCATCTCCTGTTTTGAATGAAGGGCTTTTGCTTTCAATAAATGTCTTGAATCCTGGCAGATCACTGGAGTGAATAGAGAAGGACAGAACACCATGGACTATATCTGTATCCCACGTTCTTTGATACACCATTGAAGTGAGCTCTATCTGAGCTGTTACTATCCACACTTTTCCTTTATTTATTGTGCACTCTCTTTCTGAGATATATGGTAGCCACCTCAAAAAAACAATGAGATAAGATTCTGCATTAGCAACCACTACATTGGCTTTGCTGTCAATGATTTTATCATATATTTTGGCTCGCTCATGTAGCATGTCATTAATTTCTGTGACAATGGTAAATTTGCTGCTTCTTTCTATGAAGGCAAAACAAATACCCATTCTGGAGAATACTGGAAACACTGTCTGCACAAATCTTTCTCCATATTCATCATTGGATGTAAGGATCCCAATCCATGTCCAATTGAAATGGAGAAGCAAAGTCAGAATGCCTGCATGCTGAAGAGCATCTTTAGGAGACATTTGGTAGAAGGAAAGGCCTGTGGTTTTATCATTCATCACTGGAGCAGGGCCATATATGAGCTAAAAAAAGGAAATATTAATGAATGAATGAATGAATGAATGAATGAATGAATAGGAGCCCAACTTTGGCTCACATAATCCCTTTCTTCAAAACGTTGATGCATAAATTTTTAATTACATGCACAAGAACATTTTCAATGGAGGCTGGTTCAGTAGGTAAAATGGGGTGCTGCCTTTTCTCAGAAAGTCTACATCTGCTTGCCTCTTACTTACAAGTCAGGTGATTTCTCTGCCTGTCATTGGCTCTGGCTGTAATTATTGCTGATATGCCTGCCTTCCACCTATCTTCTATCACTAGAGAATGTACTTTCTTCTGTAGGTGCCTCTCATTTATGAATACCTGTATCTCAGCTTCCATTCTACATTCCTACACAAAGAAATATTTCCCACATGCTTTCAACCACTTGTTTCCACACCCACAATCTTTTCTGTGTGGTGAAAAAAAGCATTTAAATGGATGAAATCCCATATTCAACATACAGATAGAGACATCTACACAACCTACCTGTGGAATCTTGTAGGTATCCAAGACAGTTGCAATATAACGAGAAATTAGAGGCTCCAGTCCCCCAACAACTGCTATTAATTTATTCTGAACGTCACATATGTAGTTGGGAACTATTTTTTCTTTTGAAGACATAAGCTGCATTGTGGCATGATAGGTACTCTTTGCATTGAAGTAACTGTCGTAAATGTGGAAGCCCAAGGAAGTATTGGGTAAAATCTGAGAGTTTTCATTTATCTCCTTTACAGCAAATGCCAAAGCCAGGATGTGCTGGTAATACTTAGGCACTACACTAAAAAAGAGTACAGATTATTAGCATATCCCCCACATTGTAAAATATGTACTATGTTGTACTGCCTCTCCTTCCTTATTATTCTTTGCAGTATTTATGTACAAACTGTCTTTAGGCAATGCTTAGCCTTTGGTGGGTTGCTCATATCTTAGACAACTGTATTCTCCTTTACAACAATGCACTTAATATACTTTATTTATAAATTACCAATACAAGGTTCCATGTGTTATCAAGAACCATACGATTTGATATATTCAGAAGGCTGTATTTTTTTTTATTAAAGTTTTCTTGGTTTGCAAAGGTATGCGCAATGTCTCTTTTTTCAAGTTACATTTTCCATAGGTCATGTGAACACCTACTTTCTTTCTTTCTTTCTCTTCTTTCTTTCTTTCTTTCTTTCTTTCTTTCTTTCGAAAGCCTCAGAATACAGAACACTTTATAAGTTCTTGGTACCAGCACCAGTTTAAGGTGAAATCTACAATTTAAGAACATGTTCAGAGTTTGGTGATAACTGCACTAGAATCAGAGTTGTATTCTGTATTTGGAGAAACTACCGTGTCTTGTAAAACTGTTGTTCTCCCTTGGTATCTCCTTCCTTATTATTTACAAATATATAAAGACTTAGCTTTGAATTCAACAAACATACACACAATCCTAGCTCTCTTACAAAGACATTTTGAAATTGCAAATGACATCAATCAGAGCAAGTGGTAAGAAATAGAAATTAAGAAAGCTTATCACGGAGTCATTAATATTTCTGCCTTCATTGATAGTAGTTTCTAAAATGTTTAAATGGAGGAAGCCATCACTACTATTGCCAAAACCAGATGAACTTGATCAGTCTCCATTCTGAATATAATTAAATTAATATTTCAAGTTCACCACTTGAAAATTGTTTGACAAACTTGGACAAAGACTGTAATTCACATCCTTAGTGGAAACAGAAATAGAAACAACAAACAATAACAACAAGGTCTTACGCGAGCTCTTCAAACAACACGGGTGGAGGTGCTCCAGTGAAGGTTAGCGAGTTGGAGATTATGAAGGTCTGAGAAGTGATGCCACCAATTATGTTGCCTCTCAACTGATGATACTCATGAAGTGGATTGTGTGGATCTCTTACCATGCAGTTATTGTGAAACTTGCATGCCATGTGAGAAAGTAGTACCAGTATCAAGACTACTAATATCACCATCCTCAGTACCAATTATCTCTCTAAACACAGATTGTTCTATTCCATCTTAGGAGACTCAAACAGGTAATTCCTTGATTTTTCTGAGTTCCTGCTTCTACAACTAACTTATAAAGTGATTATTTATATTATCCTTCATCCACTGTGCTATTACTTTTGCTTTTCTCCACTGAAAATCCTCGGGGAGGAGCTTCACCAAGTAGTTGAATTAATTACAGCCCTTTTCCTAATTACAGGAGTAGGTAATCATCAACTTAATATTGGTGTTCACAAATGGAGTTGCAAAAAAAAAAAAAAGTGTATGGCATCTGAACAGAGGTTTTTTCTTTTTCCATGGAGGTGGTTAGGATGCCCCCCCCCCCATTCAAACTTCAGGGCCCCAGAAATGTACTTTACTTTGACTGGCATGGATCTGCCAACTTCTTGAGCAGTTCATGCTGATGCTACCACAGCAAAGGCAGCATGAGGTAATGGAGGGCGCCCATAACTTCATGCCCCCCCCATGTACTTCCTTTTGACTGGCATGGTTTTTCCAACATTCAGTTTTATTGGATGACAGTGCCAGCAACACTTCTTGAGGAATTCAAGTTGATGCTAAAGCAGCAAAGGTAGCATGAGGGAATGGAGCAATGACAAAGCCTGCAGCTTGACCTAATGGGGCAGTGGCAGAACCAGTGCTTCAGTGAATTGAAGCAGCTGCAAGCAGAGTGCACGAGAAGTCTCCTTGTAGAGAAAAGTATGGCTCTCTGTGAGGTGGGAACCTTGTCTGGTGAGATGCTATGGGAGTCTGCAAGTGACCCTGGAGCCCAGCTGCCAGGTACCCAAAAGGAAGGGGTGGCCAGAGAGATCTACAATGTGGATGGGAAGTTAAAGGGCTTGGACTATGCAAAGATGCAATCTGTAGCTGAAGGCAAGAAGAATGTCTCAGAGAAGGACAAATTGGCTGTAGTTTGGAAGCAATTAGGGACTCAGCTACATTGAGAAAGAAAAAGTGCTTTATAAGCATTGTATATTCATTATGACCCTGTGACACCAGATGGCGTGTGGAGTCCAATTTTGCCAACCCAGTTTCTCATATGACGTTTACAACACTTTTAACTGAAACACTTGTAGTATTTAAACCTCATGCCTACCTTTATTGGTTGTCAGAGGGAATTACTAGTGAAAACCATTGTGAATGGCTAGATCTCTAAAGTTTGCCCATTTCATTTCAGCTCTATTTATCTAATGCCAAAATTTCCAGTCTCAAGAAACCAACTTGTTTCTGTGCATTTATTTGTATTCAGTTTCCCATGTATTCTATGTATTATTCAGGGGGGACTGGATGCAGAAACAGTGACTTGCAGAAATGATGGCCCAATTCACTCATATCTGCACAAGATTCCGCCTCCCCTGAACACATAGGCGATCCTTTTTTTACCTACTGATTGTTGACTAGCAGGTGAATGAATATTCCATTTAGATACTACTATTAACAGTTATTTTATATGCAATTTATTTTGACTTAAAGAAACACCTGAACATATAACAGGTGTGAGAGGATAACTGATAGAACCACATAGCAAGTCCAATACATGTCAAATGGGATTTGCTAGAATGAGCACTCACACGTTACACTGTGGGTGCCCTTTGCAGGATCACGCGTGGCGCTTTGGACCCCAGGGAAATTACCAGTTGTATGGGCTGGTCTGCTTCTCAGTGTTATTCTTTGGAGGTTCACTGCCAGCCTCAGTTAGTCAATTTACACTGCTGGGAGGTGGGGCCAGTTGCATAAATAGGGGGTGGAGCCAGCAGCAGCCAGGCAGTCAGCTCAGAAGCTTCACCCACCCAACCCCTCCCTTTGTTTAATGTTTCTGGTTTGCAGGTTAACCTTTTTCTTCCTGTTTAGCGGGCGCTGCTACTGTCTTTTGACTTGTTGCTGTTGAAGAACTGGGAAGAAATTTTCCTGCATTGGCAGGCTTTGTCTTCCCTGTAGCAATTCATCACAACTTTAGCGGTTTAAAGCCTTGGGCAGAATCCTTTAGTCTTTTCTTCCCTAAATGGGGGGGGGGGGGTGAAGTGGTGACTCACCCCCCCACCACAGCGGCAATTCCAGGGTCCCCTCTTAAAGGGGTTTTAATATGGGTTTCACTGGCCATACACTGAAAGGTTGTCATTGAACTACCCTGCGTGCGGGGATATTGGGTGGGCTGCCTTCAGGGTACCCCCATATCAATCAATCAATCAATCCCTGACTATCCTTTATTCGACAGATAGTCAGAATTCAACATTACACAATAATTATAAACTATAACATCATAGGGGGTACATAAATAAGGTAGGGCCACAGTACTAGACCTCTCACAGATAACCCACGTCAAAGCATTCAGTTATACGTTTCTGACACTTGAGTGCCAGGAAAAGAAATTTAGCCACTGACAAGGTTGTTTTCCCAGAAGACTTATTTAGCAGATATGCTGTCTGCTTTCCTCTTTGTCGGGAACTGAGCTGGGGTAAGTATGGAGTTATAAGATACTGTCTTAAAACCCCCATATCCCATTTACCCTGATGAGCCCCAGTTTCCCCCCCCCCCCGGCTGTGGGGCTGGGAGGGATACACGGCCAATGCCTAAGCCAAGGTCTTCATACATTTAAAAGTTTAATAAAGTTGTGGCCAACTTTTAATTCCACAAAACGTTATCACAAGTCTTTTTTCCTTTCTGGTGGTCCCTGGGAGCTGGGGCAGTCGGCGTCTGGTCATGCAAAATAATTTTCACTACAACATTCATTGAAATATTTTAATAATTTTTTAATGGTATCCTAAGGAAGGTCTGGTGTTTTGTTGGGATTTATATTTATGTGATTTGGAGGAATAAATTAGTCTTCTGCATCCTCCTCATTCTCATTTGTTTTCGCTTTGTGATGCTGCACTTTGATGAGTCCTCTGCTTTCTGATCCAATTGCACAATAATTTTACACAGCATATTTCTTACCCTCCTGCTCTGAAAACCTCCCTTCTGGACATGGGGTGCAATCATAGCAGCAAAATGGCTCCCCCTCTTTCATTTTCTTGCTAGAACTTGGATGGCAACTCACTACATACAGAAAGAGGCTTAATCTAATCCAGAGATGAAATAGCAGAATGTTAATCTTGAGAAAAATCAATTTAGATCCACATAGATATAGATTGATGTAAATCTCTATCTCTATATCTATATGTGTATATATATCCACCTATATACATCTATATGTACATATATATTGTAACTGAAAATGAATCTTGAACCATTGTTGAATAACTTAATCATATACTGTAGCACCCTGCTTGTGGTTAACGCTTAGCTGGAATGAAATATTCAACGCAGCAATAGAGAAATTAAAATAATAATTTATTTGTCAGACAAACAAATGAGAGACACAGTGGTATACGGTTACCAAAGCTCTGCCCTTCCAGCCCTGATGGCCAGCGCTTATATTCCCTCAGTCCAGCCCCCTTGCTCCTCCTTTGGCTGCCTCTGTCCAATCAGCCTGGTTGAAATTCCTATTGGCTGTTTGCTAGAACCAATCATAAAAGATACACCCATTTCCTATTGCCTTTTATGGGAGACAAAGAGCTATATTTCCTTCTATCTATAAATGGCAAACAAGTAGTCATATATCTTACATTTACCTCAACCAGGCACCTTAATTACCAGATAACCTTTGGCCCCTACTGCCCTATTCACTGCAAACCAGATGGTTAAAGCAGATGGTTTTTAATTTCATTTTAAACAGAGATCTTGGGTTCACCTTCTCACACACCATCTATTAAATATCTCCTTCTTTGGAGGTCTTTAAACAGAGGCCCGACAACCATATGTCAGGAGTGATCTGATGGTGCTTCCTGCCCGGCAGGGGGGTCGGACTCAATGGCCCCTATGGTCTCTTCCAACTCCACGATTCTATGATTCTATGAAATAAGAATCTAACATAAGAATCTAACATTTCTTACTTTCTAAATCCTTTGCATAATTACATTTAAGCCAATATATTTAATACAGAACATATATAGATTTTTAGTAGAAAAGGAAAGGCCTTTTCAAAGTAAAAAGAAACTTAAAAACACTTTCCAAAAGCCACTTCAGAGAGTAGCCCCCCTTTCCCTGCTGAAACGGCTGCTGTTTCTAAAAGCAACTTCTTCAATTTACCCTTTAACCTTATGAAAATGTGGCTCAAGTTTAATGGGAGACATAATAATTCTTACTATTTACCAACTCTTAATTGTGTTTTTATAGCTTAATTGTATTCTGTAATTTGTATGGTCAGTGTGACCTTTTGCTCCTAGTCTGTAATTTCCTTTTGCAACCCTGAGGCTCTGTCAGAGGGGCCCTGTTTAGGAAGAGCATCTGCCGATGCACCCAGCTGTCTGGCACGAGAGATGCTGCCTGGCATGAGAGATGCAAACATATATATTTTTTAAAGCTCATTTTAAAATGCAGATCTTCATCTGATGCCTCAATACCACCGTGTTAATGTTGAACATCATAGGAGCATAATGGTGCATTCAATGACCTATGTGCATCCATCCAATTTTCGCTAGACTGGGAAAGGAGGCCTATAACTAAGTCTGAAAGATCCTCCACCTATTTGCAATATTTTGTATGCTACCATGGACATTCAAATGCTATCATGGTGCTATGGGATGAAGAAATGGATATTATGTTGCATGTATTTAATTTATACCACTATGCTAATGCTGGAAATTGTAGAAGTGTGTTAGTATTGTCTAGGGGATTTCCATTCAATTATCCATTATAATGAGGTGTGTGTGGTAGTCACCCTCTACCTTGTTTCGGTCTTTCAAATATTACCACAGTGCTGTGATGTGAAAACATGGAAACATATCTTCAAAAAAGTTGCCCATCCCAGCTATAGATGCTCAACGGTATTATCCCACATTTTAAGACTTGAACCTAG